GCAGTAGAATTGCTTGAGCCCAGGAGTCTGAGGTTGCTGTGAGCTAGGCTGACGCCATGGCACTCACTCTAGCCTGGGCAACAGAGCGAGACGCTGTCTCAAAAAAAAAAAAAAATAAAAAATAAGTCAGATCATGTCCTACCTCTGCTCAGAACCTTATAAAAAATAAAAATAAAATTCTGAGTCCCCCACCTGACTGAATGGGGCCAGGGGACCCCAAAGAAACCTTAAAACTGAGTTCCTGGCATGACAGGATGGGTAGTCAGACATGCCTTGTGATACCTCCTCCCTCACTAACCACCGTTAGATTTTCTCCCTAAGCACTAAACAGAAACCAGCCCTTTGGAAAGACTTGATCCACCACTGGTTTCAACCAGCCACCTAATGCTGCTGCTTGCTTTCGTGGTTTCAACACAACTGACCAGCATTTCCTTCATGAGAAGAGACCACGGACCATGGAGTGGCTCTGGCCAGTTGACGGAGGCAGTGCACAGAGGGCTGCCTTGTCCTCTGCCTCACCTTTTGATGTCAGAGGGCCGGAAGCTCTACTCTCACACCATGCTAATGCCATTTTCTGAACATGGGACCCATGAAGCAGCCTGAAGCTCAGTGGCTTAGCATCAATTCCTGTTCCCTTTATTGTGTTTCTGGCTTCTGGCCAGAGGCTGTGCTTCTCAGCCTGTCGGAATGGCCAGCCTGCAGGCTCAACACCCTTTATGAGAAATAAAGTTCTTTCCAAATTTATGAAGCTCATCATTCTTTAGTTGACACTTGTGATTTGCTCCGTTTCTCTTAGAGGGAAAGCCAATGTACTTACAATGGCCTATAAAGACTTTTATTATTTTCCCACCACCCCCCTTACCTCTCTGACCTTATCTCCTACTATTCTTTCCGTCCCTACTACTCTTCTGTTCCAGCCATAATGGCCTGCTTGCTGTTCCTCAAACACAAGGAGGCGTTCTCTCCCCTGGGGGCCTCAGCACTGCGGTTCCCTCTGCTTTGTCTCCACAGTCCTCATGGCTGAGTTCCTGCATTTCCTTCAAGCCTTCGCTCACACGCCACCTTTCCAGTGAGTCCACCCATCCAGTTTAAGTTGCAAACACTCCATGCACTCCTGATATCCTTTGTGCTACTAAAAAGAAAACAAAACAAAATAACGCCAAAACGTAGCACTTACTGCATTCTAACATATTTATTTTAGCTATTATTTGACTGCTTCCTCCCACAAGAACGTAAACTTTACAAGGCAAGATGTTTATCTATTTTGTTGACTGATGTACCCCCAGTATCTAAAACAGTACCTTGCACATTGTAAGGACTCAAATATTTGTTGAATGAATAAACGAAAGAAATTGAGAGTTAAAAACTAGAACAAAACAGGAGTGGAGCAGAACCATATTAGGGATGAATGAGGCCAGATTTGCCTTGAACTTCATTTCATTTTTTTTTTTTTTTGTTGACTTCTTTTTTTTGGTTGTTTCTTGGTTAATTTTGTTGGTTTTTTGGGGCCTGGGGCCGGGGGACCTTCCTTCCTTCTTTGCTTTTGGGCTTCCTTTTCGGGGCTTTAAAGGCGGTTCGTTTTGGGCTTAGTTCTTGCGACTTTTTGGAACCCTTTTTTTTCTTTTTTACCCATTTTTTTAAGTGATATTTCTGGGAGTCTACTCTGTGTATTTAATCTTAGATTGCTTAGCCAATGAGGTGGGAAGGGGTTGGAAATTTTAGAATGTCTGAAGAGTAGAGCTGAATTTTGTAAATATGGGTGTATTTCATGATAATTTAAAATGTTTCATTGAAGTAATACATGTGTGTATACAGGAGAATACACATGTCATAAGTATATAGCTTGTTGAATTTTCACAAACTGACTACATCAGTATAATTGGCACATAAAACAAAAAACAACCTAACTAGCTTCCTGGATGTTGTTCTTGTGCCCCTTCTAGTTATTGCCTCCCACCCGGGGTGACCACCATTGTGACTTCTAATGCCATAAATGTGTTTTGCCTGATTTTGTACTCTATATAAAATTAAATCATATGGATATACATACTTGTGTCTTTTTTCTTTTTTTTGCTCAAAATTTTGTGTGATTTATCTGCATTGTTACTTACGGTTGCAGTTTTTTCATTTTCAATGCCATATTGAATTCCATTGTATAAGTGTACCACGATTTTTCCATTCTGCTTTGATGGACATTTGGATGGTTTCCAGTTTGGGACTATTATGAATTATGCTACTATCAATATTCTATTAATGCATTTTGATGTACATATGCATGAATTTCCTAGGGCATTTGTGGGTTTTTAAAATCCATAGTCGGTGAACCCTAAGTGTTCTTCAGCATTTCAGTTAATATATTTACCATGTGTACCTTACGCAAGTGAGAGATGTAGTTGTTGGCATTAACGAAATCCTTTTCTCTGTAGTGTTCTCACTAGACTCTGTCAACTCTTAGGATTCTCAACATGTTGTATTTTGGTTAAGTATGCATATTCATTTCTTTTATTGGATCATCAGTGCTTTTCCCTGCTGCCTTTTACTCGTGTGTGTATTCTGGCACCTGAACAGCACCCAGATACAGCCGGCTAGTTGATGGAACGGCGATAGATGTCACCATTGCAAGTGATTAGCACAGCAGTTCCCCTTAGTTACGTGAATCATCATGCTTTAATTCTGACATCTCAGTGTCCCAGGGTTGGGAATGGGAAGTGATTTCTCTCTGAGAGAAGCCGAGAACTATAGGCTAAGAACGGAACATGCCGTGGGTTAAAGGGAATTGCTGTGGCTTTATAAGCCTCTCGGAGATTTAAAGCGTTAACAGCAGTGATTCCAAGGCATAGTGTGGGGGCCAGATATAAATAGCAGCACACAAGTGGGGTAATGTGCCACTGCCAAGCTCCTGCTGGGGTGTTTATAAAAAGAAAAGCATTCCCTTCTCAGCTCTCACTGTCAACAACATCCCATCCTGAAGACACGCTCACCCCAACTGAGAGTGGGAATCAGTTTGAGATCTAGCATCATTTAAACCTGCTCCAAAGGCACAAAAGCCAGGTAAACATTTTGACTTATTTACACTCAGACTACAGAAGTGAAGAATTTTCAGGAAAATCCTAATCCAGAGCTTGCTTGGCACATACTGCCATGTGACAGATGTCTGTCAAGTGTTATATTCCAAATCTGTTTTGGAAGGAGAAGTTTAACACAACAGTAGCAATTTGGTGCTACATTTTAGTATCTCTAGTAAAAGTGTTTCTGAAGAAAGATGAGAAACTAGGGCCAAAATGATCTATAAAAGGGAAGACTGTTTCCCTTTCTCTGTACTGTTCATTCCCATTTTCAGAATCCAGAATGTGGTGATTGGTAGGATAAAACAGAGGTTTCGTTTCAGTCCCGGTAATGTCAATTTTATTGCAGGTATGTGGAAGGAACTGTAGGCTGGGCTGGTGTAGCCTTTAATTGAATTAGTTAATGGCTCTGGGACAACTTAAGCCATTGAGGGCCTCTTACCCTCCTGTTTACCCCTTTCAGTATCATAAATGCTGGGAGGAGTACTGGGCATTTGGCCAGGAGAGTTGTATAATCTTGTTAGAATTGCTGCCTGCCCAGTTCTTTTTATTCTCATTCCCACTCAGAAAGTTATGCAGAGCACTTGTTTTGCTCTTAGGCTTCTCTTGATTGTGAGTACTTGGGGGAAGGAGGCCATCTCTTCTGCTTTGGCCTTATCATTTCCTCCATCCTACCCAAATAGTCATGACTTAGTTTGCAGAGAGGATAGGAGAATGGATGACGTGGATGGACACGTTTCCAGAGACTTCTTAGAAACTGGGAGCTAGGGGACCAAATTCGAGCTGCTGTTTTTTAGTTTGATTGTGTTATTTCCTGTGCATGCTGAGGGGAGATTTAGAGATAGAAAGAAAATATGCCTACCAGTGACCATGGTAGGAGGGACAACACAGCTGGAAGAGTATGGAAATGGACAGATTGAATATTCAGCAAATCACTTAAGTTCTATGAGTTTTTGTTTCCTCTTCTGTAGGATAAGAATGTTAGACCACTAGATAAAACCTGATGCCTCTTGCAGCCATTAAAAATTTATTGATAATCACCTCCTGACCACCACAATATCCACTCTCATCCAGAATGAAAATGTATATAGTGTCATCCTGTTCTACTTCCTTAAACCTCTCTTTTAAGCCCACTAAATTGGAATTTCTTCATTTTAATTTAGAAAAGAAAAATGAAGACAGGACATTTTGAAATGGTCACCATACTGCTGGCAGCCATGATTCTAATAGACCTCTTCCAGGTAACCTTTGGCATGGGAAGCATGTGGACACTGGAATGGAAACTCTTGCTAATAACATTGTCTCAGGCATCTGTGTGGGTTGATGGTGGAAATGAGAGCAGGTAAAATAGGTAAACATTACTACAAGCAGCTTTTTTTTTTTTTTTTTTACAAAGCAGCTTTTGTTTTTTGTTTTACAGACGTGACACTTATTAACTGTGGAAAGTTGAAAAAATTAAAGTTAAGCAAAAAGATAAAAGTAAAAATCATCCATAAGCCCTCCACTAAGAGGGAAAGACTCTTTACCTGTGGGTGTATACAGCCTTCTTGGCTTTTTTCTGTGTACTGTATTTAATTTTTAAACATGGGTTCACACTACGTAGTACTTTTTTATCTTGCTTTTAAGTTAATAGTGTGCTACATGTTGATCTGTGTCATTAAATATTCCGAAAATATGTTTTTTTCACAATAATGTAATGCTGCATTGTTTGGTTACATGGTTTTTATTAAATTATGTAATGACCATTTTATCACATTCAGAATTTTTTTCTGATAGAACTTCTATGATTTTATTTGAGTTGAATCTTTAAGCGTTCTGTAATATATTTTTATATAAAATATGGGACAGGTATTTTACTTGATTCCCCCCGCACACACGTGGTTAGCTGTCACATCAGCACCGGGCAAGTATTTGTGTACTGATTTTAAAAGCCTTCTTTAACACATTGACTGCCATGCTAGAAAAAAAAATTTTTTCCTTGGGGCCATGGTGTTTTAGTATGAAACTAGAATAAAAACTTTGAAAACAAAATGATCCTTTCTAATTTAATGAAAAATTTGTTATTTTTTATTGTTTTCTGTGTGTGAGTTATATGCAGCTTGAAAAATAGTTCGTGTGACTTCCAAGGAGAAGAGACGTGTGAGTTACATGTTTCACAAGGCCCAGGGCTCAGAACTAGCATGAGTTAAATACAACTCACATGGCAGTTAATGTGTTTAAAATATCTTAAATTTTTAAAATGTTACACATTTTTGAGTTTGATATTCTAATCCATTGTTTATCTAGAATCATTGTGCATTCTGTTGCCTGTAATGCAGTGGTTTTTTTTGTTTTTTTGTTTTGTTTTTTTTTGAGACAGAGTCTCACTGTGTTGCCCTGGCTAGAGTGCTGTGGCGTCAGCCTAGCTCACAGCAACCTCAAACTCCTGGGCTCAAG